TATCTGTCCCGGAACATGTACTGTAGACCAGGCTGGTCTCTAACTTAAGAGTTCTGTTTGCTTCTGCCTCCTGAGTGCAGGAATTAAAGGTGTGTGCCACCACCTAGCTACTGGGGCTATTTTTAATGCTCATGAGGAACTGCTGTATAGTGGAAACTTCTTTAGCCAACTTTTACCAAGTTTTGACCCACTGGAAAACAGGACAGAGGGACCTTGCCTGGTATGTGTGGGGGTCCAAGTTGAAAGAACTTGAGTTATTTGTCATAATAGAGAGGGATGTGGGGGGGGGGTAGGGGGCTCCGTGAGGCCTCTTTTGTTAAAGTGTAAGTTGGGGGTGTTCAAAAACCATACTGGTTGAAAGCCAGGCCTGATGGTGCATGCTTGTAATACCAGCTACCAGAGAATATGAGGCAGGAGGACCTCAAGTTCAAGACCAGCCTAGGTAACTTACTGAGTCCCTTCTCAAAATAAGAGAGTAAAAAGAGTCCTGGGCAATGAAATTTGGTAGTACAGCACATGTCCAGCACACACGAGCATCTACTTTCAGTCTCCTGTCTAGCCCCCTCCCCCAGCCCCAAAGCCCAAGAATCCACAGTACAGCCAGCCCTCGCCTGGGCTTGCAGAGCCAACAGCAGCAGGTCTACGTCACAGAGGGCCAGAGGGGGGGGGCAGCTCGGGCAACTTGCTGATTCATCTGCTAGCGCTGGGGTGCCACATGCCTCCCCCCCGCTGGAGAAGAGCTGGCTCTCAGGTCCACAGCTCAGGTATGGGAACACTGTACTGTTACCAAAGCAGTACCAGGCTGGGTCAGAGGTCATTGTCATGCGTGTCAGGAATTAGGGCGGGGTCTTCAAGCCAGGTTCTGCTGAGCAGGAGGGCACCCCAGACGGCAGGTATACCTTTAGGTTCTGGCCCCTCCCAGTCCCGGATGCTGGGATACAGTCAGACTCCCCAGGCTCGAAGCCCTGGATTCTATCCCCCCCGCACTGCACAAACCAGGGGCGACAGTGCACACCTACAACCTCCACACGTGAATGTTACCTAACCTCAGAGTCCACATCAGTGACACAGGCTGCGGGGTTAACGGAGTTAATTCATGGGAAGCATACAGCCTGGCCTGTGACAAATGCTGATGAATGTTAGATATTACTGTTGTTACGATTATTGGTTATACTGGTGGGAGTCTGGTAGTATGAGCGGACAGCATGCAGGAAGGCTATTGAGTTGAGTACTGCACAAGCCAGGGGGTCAGTCACTCAGCCCAGAGAATGGCGAGGGACAGCATACAACCTGCATAGCAGGAACACTGGCTTTGGGAGTCCTGGGTGGATTAACAGGTGTCACTTGGAAGGCATTCTTTTATTAAGGATGTTCTGGTAGGGACATTGTAGCTCAGTGGTAGGCTGTTTCCCTAGCATGAGCCACCACAAGAGAAAAATACAGAGAATAAAGTGGAACTTTTTGAGTCAGCATGGTCCCTCTCTTGAGTGGCAAACTTTGACCAAATCACTCCTTTCTGAGCTTAAATTTCCCCCATGTTTTTTTTTTTTAAACCAGTGTAGAGAGGCCAGTTTTGGGATAGCAAATCAACTTTATCCTTGCAAACCGGACTGATACTTGAAGCTCTGTGAAGTCAGAGTCTGAGGCTACTCTGGGATGGGCGGGACGGACTCTGATTGATTAGTAATGTCTGCACGTTGTCGGGCACGGACTACTACTGTGTGGCAAGTATGAACACACCTGCCTTGCTTAGATTAGCCTTGTGCTGGATTCTCAGTCCTGGATGCTGGTTAGAATCACCGGAAGAAAAAAAAGCCTTTGATTCTAGGCATGTGGATTCTAGGAATGTGGCTGGCCATTGAGAACTCTGGTGGACGAGGTTCCTTATGGTCCCTCGCTTTCCTGACGCTGTGACTTCACGGACCCGAGGTCCCGCACTGTGCGCCTTGGAGCATGGTTTACCTTTGGAGCTCCACGTTCTCTGTCAGCAGGGCTGGGAGGGGCGGTCAAGTGCATCCTCCCATCAGTCTTGCTTCTGAGCACAAAACAGACACTGAGGGTGTTGGCTACAATCAGGATGTGGAGTTACTACGATGGGCTCTTCCCAGGACATATTGAAAACCAGGGTTTTGCATCTAGGAGATCTTGTGCTGAGAAAAAAAAAAAAAAAAGGCCTGGTCTACTCTGCCTTGGGCCCTACTGTTTCTTTCAAGTCAAGTCATTCTGGTCGCCCGAGGTAGGAACTTGGGAGGAAGAGGTCTGCTGAGGCTCAAGGAAAGGCAGCGTACCTCACGATCCCAGCCATAGCTCTGAGGGGAGAAGGTGAAAGCTGGTGGGGCCCCCGAGCTCCAGGGAATGGGGGTCCTGGGTCTGGAGGTGCTGCATTAGGCTGTGGGCAGCCCCGGATGCTGAAGACGCCTTTAATGAGGAGAGGCGACCCAGGAGAGATGTCCTGGGAGTCCACCTGGCTTGGCCCCCTGCAGGGGACTAAGCATCCAGCCAGCTTTCCTCGATTCCTCCTGCCACCCAGCCTAGGGATTTTTCCTGGAGTGATGGCTATGCAAGCTGTGCCTCCTGGTGGGACATGGCTGGCTCCCCGTGGAGGGACGTAGAAACAATCAAGTCACATAGAATTCCATCATATTTTAAAATAAGCTTTATTTAGATTTTTTTAATATTTTATATTTTGCATCCATGCCTTCGAGAAACCTCTCCCACGGGAAAAGGTCCTTCTCATCTATAGTTACCCATAACTCATTCGCTATTTGACATGGTTCTCTCAAATAAATCATTCTTAGTAACTCTTGGGATAATCTCCTAATTTCCAAAAACTGAAATGAAAAGGAATGACTAAGTCATTACCAGGAGTGGTTGCAATCTTCTTGTAAGTAAAAAAAAAAGGGAGGGGGGTTATAAAAAACAAACAAAAAGAAAAAAAACCACAAAAATCCAATAGGGGAAAAATGTTTCCTAAGACCTCCCCCTGATGCCAGCTCTGGCCTCTCTCCCTCACCACCAGGCTGGGTTAATCAGCTGAGCTGAAAGGGACACAAAGACGCTCACTAGGCATCCCTGCCTGCTCTCTTTCTCAGCCTCTGGGCTAGGTTGGGAGGGAAGAGGGACCTGGTGGGGGATTTTTTGGCTTGTTTTAGAGACTTTGGGCACAGGATCCTATACATTCCAGATGCTCCGTCCAGCATTGAAAACTCTCTTCTTAAGAGTCGAGAACGCTGCTGTTAGTGGGAGCGCCACGGTGGCCATGAGGGTGTGGACCGAGCTGTTAGTGGTTAAGGATCATTAGAAAGGGGATCCTGGGGCAATTAAAAGGGAAACTGAGGTTTAGGGGTGGGGCAGAACTGGCTGGAAACTCTGGGTTCTCCATGCCCTGGTGAACCCCTGTGGGGACAAACAGGCTTAGGCATCCGCCAACCCTCATGGGATAAGCCTGCTTGAGCTGCTGATAGAATTGGGAGGACAGGGCTCAGGGGATTCCAAGGGAGTCCATGTGTGGCTGAAGAAGTCAACTGGGAAAAAGAAGGCAGAGGGCTCGCCTGCAGATATTCTCCCTAAAAGCCCTTCCCAGAAGGTGGGCATCTTCTCTGTTGACATCTGCCTGGCCCATGTGTGCAATAAACTAAGGATGGAGAGGCGTGCATGCGTGCATGCATGTGCGCCACCAGAGGCCTCTTACCCAACTGACTCGGGCCCAGATGTCCAATCAGACCCTACGAATGACCCAGGGTATCCTTCCCTGGACTCAATCAACATGGCTCCAAAGACAGACCCAAGAGAAGAGGAACGTGTTAGTGCTCTGCTCAATGAAGTCACGGTCTGTATGTCAGATAAATAAATATATATAGAGAGAATATATATAGAGGAAGGCCAGAGCAGAAGGTGGGAGTCCTCTCATGCAGGGACAGCAGCCGGGAGAGACAGAAGAGAGAAAAGAGAATAAGCGAGCTGGCCATCTGAGGCACCCAGTTCCAGCCACCCTAATGCTACCTCGCACAGTGTCTGCAGCGGCATGAACACAGAATAGACAAGTCAGCAGAAACGCCCGCCTCCCGCCCACCCCGTGGAAAAATATACATTCCGATATTCACGTAATAATTTAGATAGAATACGTTTTCTGCATTTGTGCAAATAAATTAAATGCAACAGTTTTCTTTCTCTCTTTTTGTTCCATAAAGAAAGAAACAGCAACACAATTTAAAAACAGGCAGGCCATTAAAAAGAGCCCCTATAAACACTGTAGCCCAGCCAAGACTTCTTGGGTGGGCTCATGAGTCTCTGCAGAGTGACCTTACCCTGACAATGATGGCGGGGTGTTTTTTTTGTGAGTGTGTGGTTAAAGTGACTTGGGCACACCCCGAGAACAGGGTCTGGTCCCATACGTTCACACCGAGGGGTGGGGAGGAGGGGGGACATGGAACACAGACCACATCCTTGGTGACATGGGCTGCAGTAGCGGCTGGACGAGGGACTTTACAAGCACGAAGTGCAACACTACTTTTGTTATTTACAAATACACAGCAGTCCTTCAAGTGTTCAAGTTTCATAAAAAGGAGGAGGGAGGAGAAGGGGAAATTAAAAACGAAAATACAACGGATTAAACGAACAACAAACAAACAAAAAACCCCCAAACATCGAAAAACAAAACAAACAAGAAAAACAAACGCAACTGTATCGCTTGGAGACAACAGAGTTGACAGGAGTCACACACGGTTTGTGGTATGTACATCGATTACAGAGGTGGCGACGCGGAGGGGGGTGGGGCACATTCGTGTTTCCGCCTGTTCTAGGCACTCGGCTACACACACCCACGTGGGTGAGCGCACCCGTGCACACACACCCCACGCAGGCCCCCGCGCCCCCACGCACACACACTCGCACGCTCCACGGCTCATCCACACACAGACACGTGCCCACGGACAATGGGCGAAGGGCGGTGGGTTATCACCAGTCCGCGTCTTCCTCTATGTAATAATCAGGGGCGGTACCATCAAAGAGGCCCGGGTCGAGGGACTTCCGCTGCTTCCCTCTGGCGAAGACTCGAGAGATGGAGCCGAATCCCATCTTCTCTTTCTTCTTTTTCCGTTTTTGGTCTTCAAGATCCTCTAGTGACTGAGGCAGAGGTGAGAAGAACAAAGGTAATCTTAGCCTGGTGGGAAGGATAGCGGTGGATGGGAGGGCAGGGAGGAGGCTTTCCTAGGTCATGGTCCAGGTCACAGTGAGGGATGGAAGCTGGGCTCTGGGGCAGAAATCCCAAGGGTCTATCCCTTATCCTCCGAGCAAACCCAGGCATTTCTGATGTAAGGCAAAGACACTTAGGACTGGCCCTACCTTGACTGACATGTGGTGGCCAGGAACTGCTCCAGCTGCTTGGACTATTACTATCCCTTGAGTTCACCTCAAAGACTTAAGGGCCTGCAGGGACACACCCATGAACTGACTACCGCCTGTGGTCACTCTGATGCAGGGTGGACAGGATGCGTGCAGAGTTGACGCAGTGATACATGCGGAACAGGGCCAGCCTAGGAACTCTGACAACGACCTTGTAACTGGGGGCTTGGGGGTAGCGCCTGCAGAGAGCTTCACAAATGGCCAAATGCCTTATGCAATGACATGTGGTGGTATTGTTATTATTATTGGTATTATCTACAGAAAGGGTAGGGCATAAACTAGACTCAAGGCTCAAGGAACACTTTAGAATATCTTGGAATGCAGCCCCTGTTCCCAATCTGAGCTGGAAGTCCTACTGGGTAGGGTCTAGGAATTTGCATCCAAGATGTATGTAGTCTTCTCTAGGGGAATCCTAAGCAGATGGATGGCTCAGAGCCAGAAAACGGGTAACACCGTGACATGAGAGATGCTGCCCTCAGGTTCTTCCCTTTCTCACGCTGACAACAAAAGGGGTAGACCTGGCAGCAGCCAGGGGCCCCAAGTGTCCACTGCCTGTGGTTCAGGTGCCAGCACACGTGTGACTCAAAGAGGGGTTCGATCCCTCTCCATCCTGGGAATTCAAAACTGGCGTCAGGGTGACTGGAGGCTCACAGCAACGAGGCTGGAAGCGTGCTGGGGAATATTCCTTTACAGTGTGAAGACTCATCACTGGGTCACTGGTTTAATGCAGAGCTGAATGGCCAGCTAGGCAGGAGAAGCTAGGCGGAGGACTTCTGGGGACAGAGAGGACTCAGAGGAAGAAAGGCGGAGTCGCCAGTCACATTCGGAGGAAGCAGGACGGGCAGTACATAGCAAACATAACCGAGCCGAGTAAAAGAGAGTCGATGGTAAAATATGGGTTAATTTAAGTTTTAAGAACTAGTTAGGACCAAGCCGAAGCTAAGGCAGAGCTTTCATAATTCATGATAAGTCTCTGCGTCTTTATTTGTGAGCTGGAGGCCCAAAGGAAAACCCATCTACAGAAGAGGGTCGGGCTGGGGTGGAGGAAGGATGCGGGGAGCCAGGGAAGCCCCACTCACCTGTACAATAGGACTGTGCAGGCTCTTCTGAACCGGGCCGGGACTGTCGCCCTGTAGTCAGAAGAGAAGATGATGAAGCAGCAGACACAGGACACATGAGAGCTCGGGGCCCATTAGCATGGGGGGGAGGGGTCTTCCTGGAAGGGAGCCACCAGCTGTTCCAGGGCTGCCCTGCCTCCACAGTGCGGACCCTTACTCTGTGGCACTTCCACACAGACAACTGGTGGGGCCCAGGGCTCATCAGACATCTAGTCAGGGAACCCGAGGAGCTCTCTCTCCTGCCTGCTCCAGCCTTTCAACACTTAATCCTTTGAGGTTTAAGTTCCTGCCTTAATTGATCCAGGTGTTCAGATGGGAGGCTGCTGCTAGGTGTTTTCTGTTTTTTTTTTTTAAATAAAGACATCAACTTTAATGAAAAAACAAAAAGCATCCTAACGGGGAGGGAGTTGAGATCAGTGGTAGACGCTCGCCTAGCAAGCCCTGGGTTCTACTCACTGAAAAGGAAAAGAAAAAAAAAGCACAACAACAAATTAAACAATTGACTCAGGAGACCACACGGCCACTAAAATACCCTGAAACCAACACAGCAACTCTTTTATTTTGTGTAGGGGCTGCCAGGAACTGTTAGTAGGGTTTAGGCATAAACAGGGGCCCACCATCAATCTTACAGAGCTAATAACAAGTAGAGTTGGGACTCAGATTTGGGGTGTCTGATTTCTCCTGGCTCTGTGCTTTTTCTAGTAGGGATTCCACAGCAAGTACACATTGGGTCCTGACTGCCTGTAACCTGCTCACACAGGTCAGGACTCTTTAAATTCTTTCTTAGGAACATGAGACAGCCTGTGGGTAGGTAGGACATCCGAGAACCACATCTGCTCTCCCTGGGAGCATAAAGTCCATTGAGATTACAAAAGGCATTACTAGGGAGACTCCTAGTGGTTGTTTCTGGAATTGCAGGTATGGAATTGCACATGAAGAAATAGACACAGACCAATGTCTCTTAGCATCCAATTTCCCTGTATCAAATCCTCATTTCTGCTCTAATTACTGGTCAGAGTGTGAGCTGTTCTTTAGTTCAGTCTATGTTGATCTTGTTGGTACCAGGTCACATTCTTGAGGACAGAGAGCTACCCGGAGCCATTTTCTGGTGTTTTAGTTTATCCATGTGCACAATGGTTGAGATGGGGAATAAAGGCAGTTTGGAAAGAAATGCCTTGGTCAGACTCAAGGTTTGCAACAAAACCACCCATTCTGCTCCTCTGTGAAGCAATGTCGTGTGTGTGTGTGTGTGTGTGTGTGTGTGTGAGTGTGTGAGTGTGTGTGTGTGTGTCGTGTGTGTGTGTGTGTGTCGTGTGTGTGTGTGTGTGTGTGTGTGTGTGTGTGTGTGTGTGTGTAGGCCAGAGACCAACTTTAGTGTCATTCCTTAGGGACCATGTCATTCCACTGTTTTCTGAGACGGTGTCTTTCACTGGCCTGAACTCACTGATTAAACAAGGCCGGCTGGCCAGAGAGGCCCAGGGATCCTCCTGTCTCTACCTCCTCAGTGTTGGGATTACAAGTGCACACCACTGTGCCTGGCCTCTTTATGTGGATTCTGGGGACTCAACTCAGCTGTGTTTGCACTGCAAACACTTCAATAACCGAGCCATCTCCCCAGGCCTTGCAATCACAGCTACTTTTATAGTAAGCGCTTTTCATGCTTACTGAGGATGGAGACACTCATACCAAGGAAAGTCGCTGCTTTTCGAAACCTTATGTATGTGCGTATTAGAGGTTCTCACACAGTCAGTAAGCTCTGTTGGTTAATAAATGCCTCCCAAGGCTGGGGAGATGGCTCAATGGCTAAGAGCAAGTGGTACTCTTGCAGAGGTCCTGGGTTCAGTTCCTGACACCCACATGGTGGCTCATAACCACCTGTAGCTCCAGTTCCAGGGGAATCTGATGCCCTCTGCTGGCTTCCATGGGCACTGCACACACATGGTGCACTGACATACACATGCAGGCAGAACACTCATGCGTATTAAAATAAAAATAAATAATAAGGAAAAAGGAAGAAAGGGAGAAAGAAAGAAAGAAAGAAAGAAAGAAAGAAAGAGGAAAGAGAGAGAGAGCCTTCTCAAGCATCTGGGGATACTTCAGTGTGACGTCTCTGTCCTTAGGACACGGCAGGGAAGCCCTCTGGGTTATCAATTATGTTGATAGGACAAATACTCGGAGTGGTCCCAACCTCTGACCTTCCATTCCTCTTGGAGGCTGACATGGTTTTCAGCCGCCCACTGATGCTGGGTTCACCAGCTTGGGAGCCTGCAGTGGCGTGGCTATGGTTTCAGAGCGTCTTCCAAAGGTTTGCTGTATAGGAAGCCCGGTCCCCAGGGTGATGATGTGGGAAGTAATGGGACCTTTACGAGTAGAGCCTAACAGGAATCATTTCTTTCACCCAGCCTCAGTCACTTTGCTACGGTAAGTGAAGAGTGAACTAAGTCACAGCCCCCTGGAGGGCTTGGGCTCACTCTCTTAACTGCTGGTGTCAGTACATAATTTAAAAAAAGAAAGAAAGAAAGAATGAAATAAATAAATAAAGAAAGAAAGAAAGAAAGAAAGAAAGAAAGAAAGAAAGGAAGGAAGAAAGAAAGACAGACAGACAGATTTACAGGCCCTCTCGGCAGAGGCCACACATGTCCCAACCACCGGAAACTCAAAACTAAAACACAGCAATCTGTATCATTCCAGGATGAAAGATGAGAGCGGGTGCCACAGGGGACAGGTGGTCCTGTAGTCAGACCCAAGGTCCCAGGCAGGGCCCAAGATGGGGTGCCCCGGGCGGGGTTCCGGCTGCGCAGACCCTCCTCCTCGCCCTCCCGGACACAGGAGGAAACAGGCCTCATCTCTCTCCCCACATCCACTGCTTCTCGGAAAAGGAAAGAACAGAACGGGAAATGCCTTCGCCACAGCGCTCCCTGGGTGGACGAGAGGAAAGAGTGGGCACATCTTTGCCCCACCCCCCCGGCCCCGCCGTTGCTGGGCAGGGCCCAAGTGCCCAGGCCCTGCTGCTGCTGGCCTTACGTTGCAGAGGGAGTGTGTCCGGTGTCTTGGGGAGTTGATGTCACTCGGTGTCGATGACCGGTCACCTTCAGCAGCAGATGCATCGGAGATGACGGAAGGCTGCCTTGAGTGGCAGGGGCTCACCCTGACCGCTGGAAAACAGGGACAGCTGGTGAGTGAGTGTGACACAGGAGAGACCACCCGGTACACCCATTATACGGATGGTAATGCTGAGTCAGAGCCAAGTGTGGTGGCCAGCTCCTCCCCTCCGCACAACAGCCGGCTTGTTCTCGGGGGTGGCTGCTGAGAAGAGCTCTCCCCCTTCCTTTTGATACAGCTCAGCCCTCCTCACCTGGGGGAGGGAGGGTCTATGAAGCCTCACCTGAATGGTTCCAGATGAGAGGCTATGTAATCCTAACCACAGCTCAACAGCAGAGTCCCAGACGAGAACTCCCCCAAGCCACTGCCAGATCCTTTCTTTCCCCAGTGTCCCTGAAGCACAGCCAAGTCCATCTACTCTCCTAGTCCATGGCAGCTGCCATCTGACCCCTCCAAGACCAGGGTGGCCTCCCTGCCTCCACACCCTCTCTGAGCCAATTCGATTATCTGCACCATGGAGGTGCCTCCGCTGTTTTTTTTGTTGTTGTTGTTGTTTGTTTGTTTGTTTTGTTTTGTTTTTTTTTGTGCCAACTTGACACAAGCTAGAGTCATCTGGGAAGAGGGACCCTCAATTGAGAAACCGCTTTCTTCGGACTGGCCTGTGGGCACATGGGGTGTGTGTGGGTATTTTCTTGATTGATGGTTGATGTGGAAGGGCCCGGCTCACTGTGGACGGTGCCAGCCCTGGGCTGGGCGGTATAAGAAAGCAAGCTAAGCGAGCCACTAGGGGCAGGCAGGCCAGGAAGCTCCCCTCCATGGTCTCTGCTTCAGCTCCTGACTCCAGGTTCTTTTTTTTAATTTATTAATTTTTTATGTTATATGCATTGGTGCTTTGCCATGGGTTGAGAGCTGCCACGTGGGTGCTGGGAACTGAACCCGGGTCCGCTGGAAGCGCAGTCAGTGCTCTCAACCACTGAGCCAATCTCTCCAGTCCCTGGTTCTTTTCTTGAGTTCCTGCCCTGACCGCCCTTCATGAAGCTGTCAGACTATGGAATAACCCTTTCCTCTCCAAGTTGCTTCTGTGGTGGAGCTTACCACAGCAACACAAAGCAGACTAAAGCGAAGCCGGGGACAGGCCCCTCTGCAGAGCGCCGGGGTGAAACACACGGCTATTTGGCCCTGCAGTAGGAAGGGGGAAGGAACCATGGTGCCAAATCCTTCCCAGCGACAGTCTGGTGTGGATGTGGGTCACCCCGAGCAGGTAAACACCAAGTCCCAGGAGCACGGGGGGAGGGGGGGCGGGGGGGGGGCTCAGCCAGGGAGAGGGCCTGGAAGCTCTGAGAAGGTGTGTTTAACAAAAAGCTCCCAGGTGGCTACAGGAGGGGCAAAGACAGCAAAGGAGGAAGGGTCTACAGACCCCGTGGCCTGGTTAACCTCAACTCAGCCTCAGCCCCACCAAGGTAAGGTCCTGCAGCCTCAGATGTGGTGATCCAAAGCACCTACCATTCCATTAACTCCTAAACTGTCGTTGCAAACTCCGCCCACCCACCTTCTACAGTACCTCTGCCTCCTGCCACCAAGGTGGACCAGAGGCTGGGCGGCCGCCTTCCCACCTGGGTCTTAGCACTAACTAGGTAGCTATCCCTGAGGCTCAGCATCCCTGGGGCGGGGCTGGACTTATGTTTGATAAGGTCTTCAGTTGTGACCTTGCTTCAAGGCCTGCTGTATCCTCTTCCTTCCCCCCTCCCCCCCTGTGGGGGAGAGATACTGGCCAAAGAGCAGCTGCTGTCGCCATTCAGTGGAGACAGGCTGAGTCTGCTTACAGAAGGGGGTCTGAAGCCCTGTGTATCCCCTGTCAGTGATGACAGGAAGGGGCAGCTAATGTTTACCAAGGCCCTGACGTGGGAATTCTGTACACTTTACCTTGCTGGCGATCCTGGGAGGGAGGGCTCAGCAAACAGACACATTATCACATACTGCGCATCAAGAATCCAGCATCCCTCCTACCACAGGAACGGATGACCCTTGTATCGGGTCAGAGGCCACACACCCTTTGTAAGTAACAGGGCCAGGATATGATCTCAGCAGTGTGAATCTGTGCCTGTGCCCCTCCCTCTACGGTTCAACTGCCTTACCCTACATGCGCCAGCTACAGGCGACCCAGGACCTGTGGTAGCCAGCTGTGGGCACCTGGAGGGCCAGTTTTATGACAGCCCCTAGAGGAACCCTTAACAGAGCCGGGTGGGAAGGAGTCTGGACTGGAGTGAGCACCACAGGCAGTGGGAATGGATGCCAGGCACTCTGCTAAGCACCCGGAGCAAACACATGCGACGTTTATACGTTTTCTCTGTAACCTACGGACTAGCTACAACTGTTACTCAAGGAGCTCAGTACCCTCCCCTGCTGAAGGATGCCTGGGTGGCTCAGGCTGACTTCACAGCACTGGCTCTCCCAGACCCTGTGATTCCTTCAGGGGTGGCCATGTAACCCAAGGTGGCCAAGCAGGGTGATCAGTTTTACTTCTCCTTAGGCGCGGCTGCACCTCTGGACCCAGCTATGCCTGAAGCCCATGTCTTATAGGTTCAGGTATGAGCGTGAGTCATAGTCTGTCCTGTGATGCCCCAGGCTGATGCAGTGTGAACAGAAAAGCCACCTTTCCCACTGGGCCCAGGGGCCTCCCTTATTGCTGGACCAGGCCGGGCAGGACTCACCTTGTCGGTCTGCAGGGTGGGGAGGGTGGGAATGGTAGAGCGTCTGCTGGCTCTGACGGATGGCAGCAGTCAGTGGGAGGTCAGCCTGAACCACCCATTCCTGGTTGCCATTGAGCACCGTCTCGCCAGGCATGGCGAGTGAATGCCGCTTGGGAACGTCCTTGGTCAGTGTGGCTAAGGACTGTTTGGCCTGGGGAAAGAGTGGGAGACAGGAAGAAGCAATGTAACCGGAGGGGACCTCTCACGCGGTTGCTGGGCACCGGAATTCTACTTCCACACCAGCGAGGCCGCCAGCCATGTGTCTGTAATACAGGGGTCACCCACGCCCACCAGGGTCTCACCTTCGGCTGTCAGTAAGAGCAAAGCGAGCGAGACTCCTGCATCAGGCAGAAGGAAGCAACCACACGCTCATCACTTCTGGGTTCTCCCAGGACAAGCAAGGATTCTTTGTGGGTACACGTATGTGCATGTGTGTGCCCCCGTGGACGCATGCACACGTGTGTGTGGCGGTTGCAGGTCAGTGTTAGGTGCTATTCCGCAGGAGCCACGCACCTTGCTTTCTGAAACACGGCCTGTCTGTCTCTCAGTGGAGCTGGCTGATTAGATTAATGGTTGGCTAGCAAGGGATCCCGTCTTCAGCTTTGAACACATGTTCTAAGAAACTGAACTGAGTCCTCACGCTGGAGGAGCAAGCATCTGATCAACAGAGGCACCCCCACCACGGCCGGGACTCTGATGGGCCTAAGAACATGGTGTAGGGGACGTTCTTGGGTACACCTTGTAAAACACGCATCTGAGATCGAGTCTGGGAGGAAGCGAAGGTTATGGGACAAGGGCTCCAAGGGACAAGGCTTGTATTAGGGGAACTGGTACAATCATGACACTACATTGGGGTTGCAGGTAGCGAGATGGCCTCTGTGGAGGCCACAGGTCTTCTCTCTGTCCTGCCTCGGAGACCTCTTGGCTACGAGTGATCTCCCCACTCCAGGAGATGCTACCAGGCAGGACTTTAAGTTTGCTGGGGGAGAAAAGGAGTATGGAATCATGCGTACTCTCTCTGTTAATCGTTTTCTATGGCTTGGGCAGCTCTCCAGGCCCCTGCTGGCCAGAAGAAGCCAAATGAGGAGCGGAAGGAGACAGGGAAAGGCCCACCATGCTTTCCCCTTTCTCCCAGGCACAGACACAACGCAGAGGACCACCCGAACCAGACCACAGAACCAGCAGCCTTTAGGGGCGACACAGGAAGAGGCCCGGGCACGAGGCCCTTCCATTCCCACTCGCCCTCTCTCTCTGCCCCGGGTGATGAAGGACCTCACCTCTGGCTGGGTCAGGAGTGGGCCCCCTATGTGGAATGAAGTATCACTACTTGACTAGTGAGAGATCCCTTACGGTTTCCGTATCTGGACCCCTTAGGAGCTAAACACAAGAGCTTCTGATGCTGCCCACACAGGACTAGAAATTTCTGAGGAAGATTTCTAGAAAAAAGGAAGAGAAAAAGGAAGGAAGGAAGGAGGGAAGGAAGGAAGAAAGGAAGGAGGGAAGGAATGAAGGAAGAAAGGAAGGAAGGAGGGAGGGAGAGAGAGAAGGAGGGAGGGAAGAAAGGAAGGAAGAAAGGAAGGAAGGGAGAAAGGAAGAAAGGAAGGAGGGGAGGGAAGAAGGAAGGAAGGGAGGAGGGGAGGAAGGATGGGAGGAAGGAAGGGAGGAAGGAAGGAAGGGAGGAGAGAAGGAGGGAAGGAAGGGTCTCCTGGGTAGCGGTGAGTTTCAGAGGAGGTAGGCATGTGTTCACTCCAGCTGCGTGGACCATCTCCACAGCAATCGACGCAGCGTGTCTGACTGATCACTTCCACTACACACAACTCAATGCTGGGAGCTCGCTCCTCTTGAGCTCTGACCTCCCCCACTTCTCCTCTCTGGGCCTTCGCCCTCTCAGAGCACCCTGAACCTGGAGCATTGAGCCCTGGGGGATCTCTAAGTTGGGATGACTACGCTCACATGACCCAAGTCCAGCCAGAGCTCGCTTGACCTCTGCTGCTTTGGAACTGTTGCGTGGCCCCGAGTACCCCTTGGTGCCCTACTGCGCCTGTGGGTCCTGACTTCCCTCTGGAATGCCCGTGCGCTTCTGCCAGGCAGAGCTGCCCTCTGCTGCCTATGATCTCTGTGACTCTGAGAGAGCTCCTCGTGCCGGCCTTGACCTCAGAGCAGAAAGGTGTGCTACAGCCTGACGTCTGTCAAGGGATGACGGGAACGTGCAGCCAGAGGGGCATCTGAAGGGGATGGGGCCATCATGGGTCTGTGTAAAGCTCTTCCCCATGCCTCTAGGAAGTGTTTCCTGAGATGCTGCTCCAAGCTTGCAGCAGCAGAGGGTCTGAAGGGAGGACAGGGAGCCAAAGCCAAGCAGGCTGTGTGTCAGTATGTTGGGAGAAGCCAGAGGGGCTATTCCCTAGTACAGGGAAAACCAGGAACCCATAAGATACTGAGGCCAGGGTTCAAAGCACCAAGATGTGCTTCATCTATATGTTCACGGGGAACTGGGTGATCTGGGCACACAGGATCACTCCCATCCATCCCCCTCAGGGCTTCAGGAACAGCAGTGGAGGCAGTCTTCCTGTCTGGATGGCTCTCACCACTAGGGGTCAGCATTGCACAAGGCAGCTATCCTGCACAGGGTGGCCTCTCTCTAGTTTTGCAACCCTGACATCACTGTACACAGATGCCATGGTAGCTGTTTCCTTGTGTTTCATTTGCGTCCTCCCCAAAGCCCTACAGGGCACACGCAAGGATCCCTATGTGGAACAGAGGCCAAAAGGGCCAAACATCCCAGCGGGGCTCTGTGACTGACTGCATGAGCTGGCTGGCACTGGCAACCCTGCAGGACAGTATCTCCCACTACTCAAGAGTCACTCAAGGGGATGGGGGGGTTCACTGGGCAAAGGTGCTTGCTGTCAGCCTGATGGCCTGAGTTCAATCCCAGGACCCCCATGGTAGAATTGAAACATGCCTTCTGGCTTCAATGGATTTCAGTGATCAACAACAACAAATCCATCTGTTTTTTTCACTTAATGACCTAAGAAAGACAATTTTGCTATAAATACATTTGGACCAAACGTCTTTAAATATTCTGCATAAGATAAATATGTAGTTGATATAGATATAGGTATATGTAACATACATACATACATATAAATGTATATATGTATAGATAGGTAGCTATTGCCATTTGTAATCCTAGACTCAGATGTTAATATTTTTGTGTATTTCTTCCCAGATATTTTTCCAAACAAATATGTCCTCCTATCTCCCCACTTCTTAGCAGCTGCTTGGGGAGTATGGTTAAGTAGGGCTTTGGAGGCCTCCTGGGGTCCCTGTGCTCCTGGGCTTGAGGAAGTCCCCAGCTCACGAGTGTCATGTAGCCTGTGGCTCTCCCTTAACCTCCTGACTGCCTTCTTCCCCAGGGGCTTCGGGTGGCCCCGGCTGCCAGCCTCGAAGCTGTAGTAACGGCCTGGGCTACTCCAGTGGCCAGTGAGCTCACCATGGCTAGCTCGGCCTCCAGTTCCTTCATGCGGTTGTCCTTGAGGTCCAGCTGGGAGCGCAGGGCCGCAGCGTGGTCCGTGGCCTCCTTGGCCTGCCGCCGAAGCTCCCACTTCTCTCGCTCCAGCAGGTCCTTCTCCTTGGCCAGTGCTTTGACAGCATCCTCGCTCTCCTGTGGTGGGGGTGACAGAGGGGGCGGGTTGCGGGTTGGCACAAGGGCGAGGGCTCATCGGGGTGTGCGGGGAAGTGGGGAGCCCCTGGCATGTGGCCGGAAGTCCTGGTAGGAGGCAGGAAGGTTGTGGGGCGAGCACCCTGGACTCCTCAGAGAGCACTTTCCCGACAGGTGAACCCCGGTAAGGCACACCTCTACAGGGAAAATGGGGGCAGAGTGAAACACGATTTTTTCATAGAGGGAACAACTTCATGTGGGGAAAACTAAGTGTAATCTGACGAAAGTTGGGGCGAAAGAGGTTTTTTGTTGCTGTTGCTGCTGTTGTTTTGTTTGAGGCGCTTTGGGTTGTGTTTTGAGTCAGGGTCTCTATGTAGCCCGGGCTCGCCTCCACCTCTCTGTGTGGTCGAGGACAATCTTGAACTTCTGATTCTCCTGCCTCAAGTTCCCAACTGCTGGCCCAGTTTCTGTGGTGCCAGGGATACCGAGGGCGTCACACACGCTAGGTAATCACGCTGCCAACCCCACATTCCCAGCTCCCGGGGCCGCTGTTCTTGCTTGTGAGCTATGTCAGAGCAAAATAGGTACAGGGAGGCACGTGAAGCGCGACTATCTGGGCTACCACAGGCTCCCTGCTGCCGCCCCACAAGGCCACAGCTGATGGGACACTCAGCAGCCCGTCTTTTCACATCCCACAAGGAGTGCAAGGATCCCTACTCGGAACAGCGGCGGAAGAGGTCAAACGCCCCAGCAGAGGTCTATGACTGCACTAGCTAGCGCCCTCCCACGGCCAGGAGCAGTGGAGAATGGCCACCATCCTGTCCGACACAGTAATTCTGTCCTTGAAGGTTAGCCAAGACGGCCGGAGCAGGAGGCCAAGGGGGACCACAGTACAGCACTGGCTAAAGTTCTAGAAAGAATCCTGCCTCTGCAAATACCTACAGGTCAGCATAGCCTCAGTTTCCCCATCTGCCCTGGATGCATTGTGGGAAGTCCCCATGTTCTGGAGCTCAGCCCAGAAGCCTCTCACCCCCAAGGATCCCTGCCCATGCCTCCTCTTCCAAAAAGCCTTCCCTAACCACCTGCTTAGGGTGACCACCTAGTGACCTCTCCAGCCAGTACTTACTCATACCTGACACTCAGGCTACCAACAGATCCCTGAGCAGACACAGCCAGGCAAAGCTGTGCTTGTATGATCCTGAGCAGGGCTGACACCACTGCCCCCCCCGCCCCTCCCCCCACCCCCCCCGCCCCCGGAAGCTGGCTGGTGATCCTGAGTTAGGAGAAAGACCCACTAGGTCCTTGGGATCCTCTTCACTTCTGAGTTTTTGCTTACTCTGCTGGTTGTGAGCACAGGAGGACCCTGGGCTAGGTGAAGAGAGTCTTTGAGTGTTTTGAAGAACTGGACCCATGTCCCTACAACACCGTTCCCAGGCAGAGGCCAGCAGGCTCTGCAGCAACAGTCATAGGGTGTCCCGGCCAGGACTGCAGGCTCTGCATGCTTGCCTGTATTTGAACCTCACAGCTTCAAGCAGAGACTCCAATTATTTACTACTGTTTCACAGAGGGGTAAACTGAGGCTCAGAGGAGGAACGCCCCCAGGTCACTGCTGATTACAGAGACAGGAAAGAGACCCATGGAATTCCTTCCCTGCAGATCTGATACTTGATAGGGCCTAGGGGCCATAGGTGGCTGAAACTTACAAGGGCGGGGCAATGCTAGGGCAGTTAAGGCCTTGCAGGCTAGGTCAGGGGCCTGAGGTGAGAGGCTACAGGGGACAAAGTGGGTGGGGAGGTGGTGGTGGCCGAGCATCACCCTGTGTCTAGCTCTGATCTGGCTGCCAGGCCTGCTATGAGGACACCTCCAGCTGGGTCTGTGGACAGTTCTCAGCTGCACTCAGGGGACAGGGCGTGTGTCACTGGCAGTTTTCTGGGATGTTGTAATTCTGAGAATTTTCTGGTCAGGCCAAGGCCTATCTTTGTCAGCAGCTTTGTGCTGAGCCTACCTGCTGCAGCTGGTGTCTGTGGGGGTCCTAGAGCCAGCGGGCCGCGGGAAGTTAAGAGCCTGCAGCCCAGGGACAGGGGAGCCAGAGAGTTCTATTAATAACGTTCATTTGGTTCCTACATAAAAGGCAAATTATGTTTGCCAGAAAAAAAAAAGCAGGAATTCGGTTTTTACATAGTATCTCTAAGTAAGCGGTAGAGTGCCTGCCGACAATCCCCCAGTGAGGGGCGCAGGTCCCAGTTCTGTGGTGGAGGACCTGCCTAGCTCACATAAGGGAGGTTCTGAGCTCATCCCAAACACCACAAAAATAAATAATCTGTCTTGATCGGTCACTAGACCCTTAGGCACAGTGGGTCTGGGCTGCCAATGACACAAGGCCACTCAGATGCTACTCCCCTGGCTTCCCTAACCTGAATGCACACAGGGGGCAGCAGCTGGACACAGAGCAGGCAGGTGGTCCCTGTGCCTGCTGCTTAGAGTCGCTTCACAGACAGGAAGAGATCTGCGTGCCAGGGAAGTGACAGTGAGAGTCACAGGCGATGGCCGCTGCAGGTATGTGACAACCACGTCAATCCCGACCCAGCCCCTGCCATCTGGCTTCTAACTGCAGCTCAGAAGTGGTCTCTCCCTGACATGGTGCGGTCCTCCACCTCTGCCTAATGCAGAGCCACTCAGCCCTCCTGTCCCCAAGGCCGCAGGCCGAACTGTCAGGCATGAATCAGGACGCCTGGCACAGGCTCATTTTTGTGTTTGCTTCCCAGCTGGTGGCTCTTCTTTGGGGAGTGCAACGCCTCCAGGAAGTGGGACCCTCCAGGCGAGCCTCTGAAGGCTGTATCGATGCCTCTGTTGCAGCCATACGACTCTGCTTCCAGGTCAGTCATAGGTGGCACGTCCCCACTGCCATTAACTCCCCCACAGCTCCCCTCCCCCGATGGTTTGAAACCAAAGGCCCAGATAAGTCCTCCCTTCACGTTGTTCCTGCCAGGCACTGGGGGACACAGTGACACACAAGGAACACATGTATGATTAAATGTTTCTACTTTCGGGTCCATGCGTACAACTCAACAGCAGCCCTGCCCACATGGCATGTGGAGGTCGGAAGCCAGTTCTCCCCGCAGATCAGGTGGGTTCCAGAAACTGAACTCAGGTCATGAGGCTTGGCAGTAAGTGCCTTTAACCCGCTGAGCCATCTTGCTGGACCAGTTTTTCTGACCCGTACAATAGTAGGTGAAAACATCTCATGGGGCCTGACTTCCACCTTGGAAGCATCCATACTGTACATTCTATCCAAGTCTTCACTGACCCAAATCCCTCAGTCATGCAATCCACCAACTCCTCCTCATCCTACGGAGCTCAGGGTGGTGAATCTTGACTGTCAACGAGACAGGATCTAGACTCACCTACGAGACGGCTCTCTGGGTGAGCCTGGGAGGGGGTTCCTAGATGGGAATTCCCACCCTGAAGGTGGGCAGCACCAACCTACCGACTAGGACTCCAAACTGAATAAATGGGAGAACATGATGAAGCATCTCTCCCGATTCCTGACTCCGATTCCTGACTCCAGCCGCCTCCTGCCCCCGTCTCTCCTACAAGGATGAATTCTATCTTCTAACCCTGATCCAAAACAAACCCCACCCCCATGAAACGGCTTTTGCCCAGCGTTTTGTCCCAATGAGAAAAGTGTCATATAGAGCCCAACTCATCAGGTTGAGTGCTCAGTGCTCAGTGTTCAGTATCTCAGGCCTCACAACCGCTTTGCATCTTTCACAGAAGGGGAAACTGCAGCTCTAGGGTGAGGTTCAAGGGTACGCTCAGAGGAGCAGGGAACTGAAGTATCTGGGTTCCCAAGTCCACCCTGTCCAGGCCTGTCCACCTAGGGACACAGGGCCCAGGAAGGAGCCGGGCTGGTTTTCTTGGAGGGTCCTAATTGGGACACACAGCAGAGCCCCCAAGGGTGCTCTGGGACTCAAGACAGGGACCATGCTTGGTTAAGAGAGGAGAGGAGGATTGTGTAGTCTGAGCGGGGAGGGCTGGGACAGAGGACAGGAGATGGCAGGGGAGCGGAGAGGCGCTGACCTTGCGGTGCTGTTCATAGTTGCGGATGAAGTCTCGCAGCTGCTCCTCGCGGCTCTCCAGCGTGGCGTATAGCTGCTGCATCTGGCTCACCAAGTCGGTCTTCTCGCCCTTTAAGCGCTTCCGGTCGGCTTTCATGGCTGTGGACAGGGGAGAGCATTAATCAGTTCCTGACACCCTTACCGTTCCTCCAGGTGCCTTTTGCCAGGTGAGAAAATGGGGTTCACCTGATACCCAGTCTCTCCTGGACCCCTGCACCACTGCAGTGTCCCAGAATTGGAACCCAGGCCTGCTGTGTGAACGGCCCCTTTCTCATCTCTCTGATTTGACTACCTACAACGGAAGCTCTACCAGACTGCATGGCTGGCGTCAGGGGCTCATGCGAGGGGAGGTCCCAACCTTGCAGTTGAAATGAGCCCCAGGGTCACCCTCTGCACACACACACACACACACACACACACACACACCACCACCACCACCAATTAAATAAATTTAATTAAAAATTAAAAATAAATTCTCACAACTCAACAATAAAAGGACAACTGTGGAGGCTGGAGAGATGGATGGCTCAGTGGTTAAGAGCACTTGCTGCTCTTGGAGAGGACCAGGGTTCATTTCCCAGCACTCGCCAGGCAGCTCACAACTGCCTCCAATTCCAGTGGCAGGAATTTTGATGCCCTCTTCTGGTCTCTGTGAGCATTGCACTCATGTGTGCGTGCGCACGCGCACACGTGCAACGAGAGAGAGAGAGAGAGAGAGAGGGAGGGAGAGAGAGAGAGAGAGAGAGAGAGAGAGAGAGAGAGAGAGAGAGAGAGAGAGGGAGGGAGGGAGAGAGAGAGAGAGAGAGAGAGAGAGAGAGAGAGAGAGAGAGAGAGAGGGAGAGAGGGAGAGAGAGGGAGAGAGAGAGAGAGAGAGACACGTACACACCTGTGATGGTTGATTTTGATTATCAACGTGACAGGAGTGAGGAATGCCTGGGAGACTAGTGAGCACACACTATGGTGCTTCTATCTTACGATGGCCCCAACGCAATGAAGCTCGCCAACCACGTACGGAAGCCGCAAACACCACAGATCAAAGTAAAACTTTCCTCCTTTAAAATGGTTTCTCTTGGGTTGTATGTCACAAACTCTAACACAGCTCATTTATATATTAAAGAAGAAAACGAGACGATATCCCACTTATAAAAAGAGGTTAAAAAAATCTTTAGCTCTTTCTGCCATCTTGGCGCCTGTGGAGGCCTGCTGGGAACAGGACTTCTAAAAGGCAAATACGTCTGGAAGGCTGTGGTGCAAGGCCACTTTTGCTGGCTATAAGCGAGGCCTCCGGAACCAGAGAGAGCACACGGCTCTTCTTAAAATTGAAGGTGTTTATGCCCGAGATGAAACTGAATTCTACCTGGGCAAGAGATGTGCTTACGTGTATAAAGCAAAAAACAACACAGTGACACCCAGAGGCAAACCAAACAAAACCAGAGCGATCTGGGGGAAAGTAACCCGGGCCCATGGGAACAGTGGCATGGTTCATGCCAAATTCCGAAGCAACCTTCCTGCGAAGGCCATTGGACACAGAATCCGTGTGATGCTGTACCCTTCCAGAATTTAAACTAATGAAACGTAAATAAATAAAAGTGAAAAAAAAATCTTTATATAGCTGCCCAAGAAATGACTGGGAATTGCAGAATGGAATTCAAATTAAAGCCATAAGGAGGACCACTCTACCCTCTGGATGAGCTAAAATTAAACAGACAACAATGAGTGCTGGCTAGACCTGGGAGAAACTGGATGCTTTAGCACATTCTCGCACATGCTGGGCCACACAGAATACAGACTGGCACTTTCTCAAAAGACCAAACATATATTCACCACATGGCCATCACTTTCACTACCAGAAATGCACCAAAGATAAAGAAAATCACCAGGCTGGGGATGGAGCTCAGCTGGCAAAATGATCACCCAGCACACACCAGGTCCACCATGCCCTGCATTTCATGAACCAGACATGGTGGCTGCACATGGTGGTTCATGCCTGCAACCCCAGCACTCAAAGTAGAGCAGGAGAAACAGGAGTTCAAGGTCATCCTCGGCTACTTAGTGAGTTTGGGGGCTAGCCTGATCTAGAAACTTGACCTCAAAATGAGAGAGGAAAGGGGGAGGGGGAGGACCAAAACTAAATGTAAAATTCTATCTAGAGGGGCTGGAGATGACACACCTATGAAGAGCACTCCCGGCTCTTGTGGAAGACTAGAGTTTGGCTCCCAGAATCTATCCTCACAATTACCTGTAATTCCAGCTCCAAGGAACCTGGCGCCCTCTTCTGGCCATCATGGGAACCTGCACTCATGTGAACATACCCACCAACGCACATATATGCTTAAAAAGAAATATTTAAGAGACCTTTGTATATAAGCAAGTGCTAGTCATAATAAGCAAGATCCAAATGTTTAGTCAGGAATGGTGAATGATGGAATGAGATCCATCTACACAGCAAGACTTAACAGTGAAACACTAGGCAAAAGCGGCCGGTGGCAGCCAGTCACTGATAGCTACAGACTGTGAGTTCACTTACGCAAAACGTCCCCAAGAGGAAACCCAGGGAGACAGAAGAGAGAAGCTGATGGAGAAGACAGGGATGTGGCGTGACTACAAAGGGCGGGGCCTTTTCTGGGGTGAAACAATTCCAGTGCCCGGCTGTCCTGCGTTCCAGTTCTGGCTGTGTTAAAAATCACAGCCCCATGAAGTTCAAGCGGGTGAATTGGGACATATGTGAATTCAATTTAAAAACTGATTAAACAAATCAAACCAAACAGGCTGTCACACACTCCAAGGAAAAGGCAAAGCAACGCGACGCCACCCCTCACCACGCTGTGACCTCGGCTGGGCAGCTGGAGCAGCCTGAGAGCAGGCTGGGACCGGAGGACTTCCCCACAGCGCCTAGAGTTCCACGCTAGCCCTTGCATATGACGACAGAGACGGGTTTCTGAGGCCCACCATGGAGGTGGCGGGAGGACGGTGAATGAAGCCCTCGGTTCTGGAAACTTCCAATCTGAGAAGGCCCAGAGTGACCGAGTCTTCTGTCTAGAGGCAAACACCCATGTGTAACTCCAAGGCCTGTTCAGTTCAGCTTATGTCACCCTGCCTCCCTGGTGAGGCTCCCCAGATCTGAGGGGTCTCCTGTGTGGGGGGCAGGAAGTGCTGTCCTGCACACCCTCTCAGTCCTGCAGGCCCAACCTGTGTGCATGAAGAAGTTAGGAAAGGGGGACTGGGAGTCGGGGCAGGCCCAGGAACCTGACCGCCAAAGTAAGCTAATGTGTTCTGGCCCTCTGGCCCTTTGGCCTCTCTCTCCCCCTGGGTACAACAGGTGGGAGATGACACATCTGGAGCCACTGCACACAGAGAGCCCCAGGGAAGCCCATGCAGTGGGGGCTCCAGGGCTGGTCGGCATTCAGACTTCGAGCTTCAGGTGACCCCTGCTGGCTCTGTTCTCCCCACAGCCAGCTTGGCTGCATGGCAGCGGAGGTCACCAGGGCTTCCAGACTTACTGAGCAGAAAGCTTGCGAGGTGGAGCCGAGGACACAGCTGGGCCCTGCCTCCAACACGGTACAGCCGGTTACCGGGGAATCTGGCTTTAAGAAACTCCAGCACCCAGGAAGACAAGACGGTTTAGTAGGCAGGCGCTTGCCACTAAGTCTGAGGACTTGAGCTGGACCCCCTGGGACACACATGGTGGGAGAAAACGGACTCCTGCAAGCTGTCCTCTGATTCCCTGCACACACGCTACAAATCAATAAGTAAAACGACACACAGACAAAGCAAAGAAACTCCAAGATCTGACTAAGTCATCTAGTGCAAGCACCCTCCAGGCAAGCCTGGGCCAGCACCATAGGCATCCCCACCTGCCAATGTCTGGCATTTCAGATGCATTTTTATGGAGGCGGGAGGATAAGAATCCTCCTATCCCACCCCAGAAAGGCCACTCTGGCCATGCAGCCAGGTAGGTCAAAACTGGGGTGCACCAGGGTTGATGGTCTGGCTCATTTAGGTGTGGCTCTGGTAAAAGGCATCGAGCAGGGGGAGTGTCCTTGAGGCCTTGGTTGGCCCTCCCCAACCACTGCCACCTTTGTCCTTTGGTTAGAAACAAACTCTTAGGATTCTGAATTGCCCCGGCAAAAGCTTTATCCAAGCTGGGCATAGTGGCACAGGTATTTAATCCCAGCACGAGGCAGAGGCAGGCAGGATCTCTGTGAGTTCGAGGACAGTCTGGTCTATAGAATGAGTTCTAGGACAGCAAGAGCTACACAGAGAAACCCTGTCTCGAAAAATAACAACAACAAAAAAAACAAAACAAGCTTTTTCCAGTAAGAACCAGCCTTTGCTCTCAGCTGCTTGCAGACCCAGCAGGGTCAGGATGCCTTGAGACAGGACGGCATGCCCCAGTGTTGGAGGGGCTCCCCATCCTGTGCAGCCAAGGCATCCCCAACTCACAGATGTGGGTACCTGTTCTGAGGCACCGCTTCTGGTCCCTGCTGTGGAACACTCCTGTACACTGTACAAATATACACCACTGTGATTGACTTAATAACAAGCTGACTGGCCAATAGCTGAACAGGATACAGTTAGGCCGGAGGGCTAAACTGAGAATGCTGGGAGGAGAAGAGGGTCAGGAGTTACCAGGCAGACACACAGGGAGCAGGAGATGAACGCGCCAAGCTGATAAAGGCGCCATCACGTGGCAGAGCATCAGTAAGGAAAACGGGTTAACTTAAAATGGAAGAGCTTGTTAGCAAATGAGCTGAGCATTTTGTAATTTATATTCGGCCTCCGAGTTGGTTATTTGGGAGTGGGCTGTTGGGACACCATTTATAGGTCCCACCTCACAAATGCTCCTGCAACATCTGGGCCCCGCCCAACTCCAGGCTGTACCCTGCCAGGCTTTGGACCTGGAATCTAAGAAAGCTGGATCTCTGGGGCTGAAGGTCATGTTTATGCCAATCTAACCTACTTGTATGAACTCCTTTTCTATGCCTGTGGTGGGATGCCCCGACAAAAGCAACTTGGGTTGGGTGGTGGTGGCCCATGCCTTTAACCCCAACACTCGGAAGACAGAGGCAGGAGGATCTCAGTGAGTTTGAGGCCAGCCTGATCTACAAAGAGAGCTCCAGGACAACCAGGGATATTACACAGAGAAAACCTTGTCTCAGAAAACAAAAACAAAACAAAAAGCGACTTGAAGGGTTCATTTTAGCTTATGGTGTCAGAGGGATGGAGCCCATCATGGTGGATAGGCATGGAAACAGGCAGAGAAAGCATGGCAGCAGGATCAGGGAGCTCCCATACACAGGAAGTAGAGAGACAGACAGATAGACAGAGCAGGAAGTGGATCAGGGCTGTGAACTCTCAAGGACCATCCCTAGTGATGTACCTCCCTTTCAGCAAGTCTCCAAGTCCCAAAGGTTCCACATCCTCCCTAAACAGTGCCACCAACAGCGGACTGAGTATTCAAATACATGAGTCTATGGGGTCAACTGTAAACACAGACACCAGTGTCGGTCAACACAAGGCTTTCTAAGGCACACATGGACAGACCTAAGACTGTGACACCTTGAATCTGATACCTGCCATATGAGCCCCACTGACAGGAAGGTCCTGGGAGCCCCTGGGATACCAGACCAGTTCCAAGTAGGGAAGCAAGCATGGTACCTGTAAGGATTCAGGCATTATGCTGGCCTGCCCCTGTCACCTGGCAGAATGCACTCAGGGAAGACCCTGATCAGCCCAGGGTTCCATGGGGTTTCCTAGTCTGCACACAGGTGCAAAGGACCCCTTTAAAAGATAGTCCCTTCCTTTCCTGCTGTTCCCCTGGGGCAGACAGGACTTTCCTGTCTCCCTCTTCTCTTCTGTCCTCTCTCTGTCTCTTTCCTTCCCCCTCCCGTCCCCTTTTTAATAAAGCTTCTCATTTAAATCCCATCTGCCTGGCATGTTTGTCCCTCCGCCTCGGTCACCCTGGCTTGCTGTGGAATCCGCCAAGTGGTCCCCATCGAGTTTTATCGTGACAGTATCCACCGAGACAACAGACGGCGGGTGCACGGTCGCCACAGCACATGGCAGGGTGACCAGACCAGGGGCGAGCACTGGTGCTGCTGCTCATCCCAATTAGCATCCCCACCACAGGTGCCCGAGGAATCACCCCGTCTACAAACTGCAGGAGGAGTACACGAAGGGGCATGTCCTACAGATCCAAAGCTGCAGGATCTCCACGGCAATACAGGGCAATAGCAGGATAGCCAAGGGGCGGCCCTGTATCGATGGCAATGCGCACTTGCAAGTAAAGGTAAATGGACGAAAGGACATACTGTGTGCTCCCTGTGTCACACTGCAGCTTCCGTGATGAGATTTCTCTCTTTTTTTCTTCTCTTAATTTTTATTTTATTTTTGGGGGGCGGTGTGGCAAGGGCAGAAGGCGGATCCGAAGGGACGGGAAGATGAATGAGATCAAGAACTGGGAAGGGTAAGGACACGTAGGAAGATTTTTAAACAGGGCTTCTAAGCATCAAGAGACCTGCGATGGCTCACTGTGTGACATCCAAAGTTCTCTTCTCTGGGCCTCAGATCTCCCAACAG